GAATGTCATATTGATTCCAAATGTTTTGGAGTTCTCAAAAAAAATATATATAGTAGTTCTGAGTTTTTTGCAGTTTTTTTTCAACCTTGAAAATTACTTCTATTTTTTTGTGCTTTTTCCCCTTACTTATAGGAACGCAATGAATGGAATCCTGTGATAGACCAGGTTTTGCAAAAATGAGGTGCCGTTAGTCAACTTCCAAGAATTTCTCCAGCTTTTTTTTAACGAATCTTCACTTTTTTGTCGGATCACTTCCATTTCTAGCTATGAAAATCAAATAATGATTTTTTAAAACAACCCATTTATGTTCAAGATTCCAGGTATTTCATTTCTATTTATTTGCTAAAATGTTGATAACTTTCAAGTTTTAGACGACAATTTTTTCAGCTTTTTTGTGTTTAAGCAAACCTTTGCGATTTTGTCTTATAGGAAAGCAATGATTGGAAACTTTATTATAAAAGAATCAACAATCTATAGTATTATATGATAGCAAACTTTCAAAAAAATCAATAGTTTCATTGGATCCCAAAAGACGCGCCTGAGTTGCCTGTACAAGAAACTCAGAGGGGACAGTCGATGAGCCAACTGAGGTCACAGAGTCCTGACTTAACTTCAGAGACACAATTAACATTTGATACCAACTATAATCAATTGTTGGGAAATCAACTTTTGATGCGGCATAGCCGTTATTGGCAACTGCTAGTAATCAAATCTAGGTTCGATTACAGTAGACTGCACTTAATTTTTTCAGAGTATTTTTTTGTACAAGAGAAGCGTAGCGTTATACGCAAATATTAATGCTTCTTTTTTTGGCTTTTTTACATAATTGGTAATTCAAGAGCCTTTGTATTGAAATTTTATTGCTAATTTGACAAAACAGTTGATGCTGTTTTAATTCATGAAACAAACTGAAACACGCTTTTTGCTCCATACAACAATTTAAATATAATTTCTGCAGAAAGTCTGTGCTTGCGAGCTAAAGCAAAATTAACTGACCTTACATTCGTTTTGGTTTTTTTATGTGGCAAACAGGGGCGGATTTAGAGGGAGCGGATGCCCCCACCCTCAGGGTTCGACGTCTTGCCGACCCAAAGGGGGGTCCCCTTGGTACTTTTTAGGAAATCCACCATTTTTGGCCGACAGACCCTAAAATTTTTGTGAAGGCGCCTTCGGCGCGGGCCGAAAAAACGCTATTTTTTGGTCAAATTTTTCCAAAAAGTGCCTAAAAACGCCTTTTTTGGACTTTTTTCAAAATTTGGCCTGCGGCGAAGAAAATTTGGCCACAACAGGGACTAAACGGTACTAAGGGAGAGCTCGAAAAAATCAATTCGGTTGACCTAAAAAAGACATCGACAAAATTTTCGACATTTTTTTTAAAAATTCGCAAACCCCCCCCCCTCTCGAGAGAATCCTAGATCCGCCCCTGATGGCAAATAAGAAAGCCTCAAGAATGATAACATTTTTTCCACTAAAAGTCTGCACTAACAGCAGGAAAATCTTTCAAAGTGAACTTTTTAAAAGCAAGCTGATATAACTAACTACCTGTAATATAAAATTTCATATTTTCACCATAAATTTTCAACCTAATTTGACATTTCTGATAGCATGTAAATAGCAATTGAAAATTTTCTTAACAACTAAAAATCCGGGTTTTGAAGTCTACTTTAAAATCAAAACGATTATTTTTTTTTAAATGAGTGAATTCCTGATACTAAATTATTTCAGACGCTCATTTTTCCGGAAAGATTTACACTTTTTTAAGATGCTAACGTGCCCTTTTATTGTTTCAACATTTAAATTTTTAATGAAATTTTTCACAAAAACAATAGTTTTGTTTTTAAAAACAAGTGTCAGAAAAAATCATGAAAAATCAATTTTCTCGAAAACAAATTGTTTTCAGTCTGTCGCAGTTTCAAAGTGTACCCGGAACGTCATTTGGTATCCCTGATGGCTCTTTGCGTACTAACTTTTTGATCATCACAGGCTACTTTTTCTCGCCATAATCTGTATTTGGTCATTTCAGGAAATTTTTTCAGTAAACATTAAAAAAGATGGATACGACAAAGTGATAAGATTAGGTGCTTACAAAAACTCTTAGCGCTGATGTCCCATTTTTTCTGTTATTGGTTCAAAATCTTTATGATTGTTATGGTTTCTGTATGTAATCGTCGAATTTCCGAATAAAAACGATCAGATTTGCGGTCAGTTGAACGTACAGAAGAATATACTCTTAAAATTTTGAATATCAAACTTTTCCTTCCACAGCAACAAAGATACTTTTTGGTAATTGAATGATCATGGTTTTTGAATGATTTATACTTACCATTAAACCTCAAATGCTTTGAAGTACAAATAAACACTTTTTTTTCGTTTTTTAAAGTGCTTTAATTGAGAGCAGATAAATAACTACTCAAGTCGCTCCCATGAATAATTGTGTGTTTAAGCAAACCTTTGCGATTTTGTCTTATAGGAAAGCAATGATTGGAAACTTTATTATAAAAGAATCAACAATCTATAGTATTATATGATAGCAAACTTTCAAAAAAATCAATAGTTTCATTGGATCCCAAAAGAGGCGCCTGAGTTGCCTGTACAAGAAACTCAGAGGGGACAGTCGATGAGCCAACTGAGGTCACAGAGTCCTGACTTAACTTCAGAGACACAATTAACATTTGATACCAACTATAATCAATTGTTGGGAAATCAACTTTTGATGCGGCATAGCCGTTATTGGCAACTGCTAGTAATCAAATCTAGGTTCGATTACAGTAGACTGCACTTAATTTTTTCAGAGTATTTTTTTTTGTACAAGAGAAGCGTAGCGTTATACGCAAATATTAATGCTTCTTTTTTTGGCTTTTTTACATAATTGGTAATTCAAGAGCCTTTGTATTGAAATTTTATTGCTAATTTGACAAAACAGTTGATGCTGTTTTAATTCATGAAACAAACTGAAACACGCTTTTTGCTCCATACAACAATTTAAATATAATTTCTGCAGAAAGTCTGTGCTTGCGAGCTAAAGCAAAATTAACTGACCTTACATTCGTTTTGGTTTTTTTATGTGGCAAACAGGGGCGGATTTAGAGGGAGCGGATGCCCCCACCCTCAGGGTTCGACGTCTTGCCGACCCAAAGGGGGGTCCCCTTGGTACTTTTTAGGAAATCCACCATTTTTGGCCGACAGACCCTAAAATTTTTGTGAAGGCGCCTTCGGCGCGGGCCGAAAAAACGCTATTTTTTGGTCAAATTTTTCCAAAAAGTGCCTAAAAACGCCTTTTTTGGACTTTTTTCAAAATTTGGCCTGCGGCGAAGAAAATTTGGCCACAACAGGGACTAAACGGTACTAAGGGAGAGCTCGAAAAAATCAATTCGGTTGACCTAAAAAAAACATCGACAAAATTTTCGACATTTTTTTTAAAAATTCGCAAACCCCCCCCCCCCCTCTCGAGAGAATCCTAGATCCGCCCCTGATGGCAAATAAGAAAGCCTCAAGAATGATAACATTTTTTCCACTAAAAGTCTGCACTAACAGCAGGAAAATCTTTCAAAGTGAACTTTTTAAAAGCAAGCTGATATAACTAACTACCTGTAATATAAAATTTCATATTTTCACCATAAATTTTCAACCTAATTTGACATTTCTGATAGCATGTAAATAGCAATTGAAAATTTTCTTAACAACCAAAAATCCGGGTTTTGAAGTCTACTTTAAAATCAAAACGATTATTTTTTTTTAAATGAGTGAATTCCTGATACTAAATTATTTCAGACGGTCATTTTTCCGGAAAGATTTACACTTTTTTAAGATGCTAACGTGCCCTTTTATTGTTTCAACATTTAAATTTTTAATGAAATTTTTCACAAAAACAATAGTTTTGTTTTTAAAAACAAGTGTCAGAAAAAATCATGAAAAATCGATTTTCTCGAAAACAAATTGTTTTCAGTCTGTCGCAGTTTCAAAGTGTACCCGGAACGTCATTTGGTATCCCTGATGGCTCTTTGCGTACTAACTTTTTGATCATCACAGGCTACTTTTTCTCGCCATAATCTGTATTTGGTCATTTCAGGAAATTTTTTCAGTAAACATTAAAAAAGATGGATACGACAAAGTGATAAGATTAGGTGCTTACAAAAACTCTTAGCGCTGATGTCCCATTTTTTCTGTTATTGGTTCAAAATCTTTATGATTGTTATGGTTTCTGTATGTAATCGTCGAATTTCCGAATAAAAACGATCAGATTTGCGGTCAGTTGAACGTACAGAAGAATATACTCTTAAAATTTTGAATATCAAACTTTTCCTTCCACAGCAACAAAGATACTTTTTGGTAATTGAATGATCATGGTTTTTGAATGATTTATACTTACCATTAAACCTCAAATGCTTTGAAGTACAAATAAACTCTTTTTTTTTTCGTTTTTTAAAGTGCTTTAATTGAGAGCAGATAAATAACTACTCAAGTCGCTCCCATGAATAATTGCATGAGTGCATTTGCAATCATAGACATATTTTGTTTTTGTCTAAACTTTAGGTTGTTGACACTTTCATTTAACAAAAATCGGGGCGTTCTTTATATTTCAAAAAAGTTCTTTTCGATTTTAAGACTTCTGATAAGAAGCTCACGGGGTTATAAGATTCACAATTGGGTTAACTGGTCTGCTTTAAAAGTTTTAACAGATACCAGTTGACACGTCGCGTAAGTGCTTGTTTGTACAAGGTAGAGGATTTGGGGGGGACTTGTTTTTTTTTTGGTTTCTTTGTTTTCAAAAAATTGCAAGCGGCGCAAAACTTGGTCAAAATAGGTCCTGTTTAAGAAAAAAAATCTTAGATCTGCCCTTGAGTGTTATGTGAAAAAACTATCAAAGCCATTTCATAAATTCATAGACCCCACACCCCGTCCCCTTTTCACCCAAATTAAAACTAAATAAATCTTACTCTAATTGCGAGTGCTGTTGTATGTATAGCTGTACATCTTTATTTTTCCTTTATTTCAGATTTGAATTTGTTTTGTGATGTCACTGTCCAAATCTTCGATTGATTATGGGTCGGTTAAGCCTACGTGTCATGGTGCATCTATTCTGAACTTACGCGAGGTGTACATTGATACAATATGTCAAATGCTGATTAGAGAGGTAATAATTGTATATTAAATATGACTTTTTTTATTTTTCTGATTGACTTTTGATTTTAAAATTCAAGACCTTCGAATGAGATCTATGCAAAATTATGCCCAAAAATAACAAAATGCACATTTATATCAAAAGGTGTCAATCAGGGCAGATTTTTGAAATTTCAAGTTTGAAAAAGATTCGTTGATCTTTTTTAGTTTCGGAGTTCATTGGCATTTTTGTTTTTCTGAGTTTTGTTGTTTGACGATGTTTACCATTTGACCTTTGTTTGGGCTATGTTAAATTTTAGTTTGGTTGAAAGTGATGCATGAAGCAAGAGTTTAATATCGTTTTAAAGGATGTCATTATGATTTGAAAAAATTTGGTCATTTCTTTGGCGATCCTAAATAAAATACTTGTATCAAGTTTTCCGTGCTATCTTGAGTTTTTATTTTGATCTTTTGTGAAAAACGCTGAGGAGTTTGACAAATGTATCTTATCGATTCAAGTTCTTTGTTACGCAAACATATTTTTCAGGGATTCTTCAGGGAAGTGATTAACCTTCGGAGAACGTGCAAACGCTTCTTCGTGCTGATAAGCAGATGCGACTTGAGGCTCAAATTGACGATCAACATTAATAAACGCTACCTGCTCAGCGATCTTCTATTCCGCATTGGTCAAATGAATTTCTGGCCCCCTCAATTCAGACTTTTTCTTAAGAGTATATGGAATAATTGTCAGTGGAAGTTCGAAGAAATCGACATAAAGTTTGTCTCTTGTGTTAGCCAACGTAGATTAATAGCGGAGACTGAAGACATCTTGGCAGATTTTTCTGATCTTTTTAAACAAACGGTGTATCAAGTTTCCTTGTGTGATAGCGGTCCTTTTTCGTGCATAGTGTGCGCTTTGAGACCCTACGTATTTAATGATTTCACTACAATTAAGCTCAAGCTCTGCGGTCTCTCGGGCGCTAAAATAAAGCCCATAGCTTACGACTACTGGCGAGTTACTGACTTCGAATTGAACCTCGGAAATCGGATGTTGAACGCAGACATTTTAAAGTCGTGTATGCAATTGAAGAAATTCAATGTTCCTGATTTGACTATTGACTCTTCCAAATTTTCCTACTTCAAGAAATTGATACATCTATCAGCGATATCGATTAGAAGGATAAACATAGGGCGAGCCTGTTATGATGACGATTTTTACGTATCAAGGACTGTCACCGAGCTAGAACTGTTTCAGCAGCCAATTAGAACTCAAGATATTGAAATGCTCGTTGGTTTTATTAATGCTACCTTCTGCAATTTGAAATATTTTTACGTGAAGGCGCCTTTTTATCCCTTTGAACTACCAAACCTGGCCCTTGAGAAATTTCAACTTCCCTGTTCGCGTGTAGTTAGTGATGCTTATTTTTTCCCTTATTTCTCCAATTGTAGGGAAATCAAGAGTTTTAGTATTGATTATCCTCAGAAGTTTGTGTTCACGTTCGATGAAAAGGCAAAAAAACTTCCCTTCTCGCGAATAGTTAGATATGCTTATTCGTCAACTGATTTCACAAACTGCGTGGAAGTCAAGTGCTTGGTTAAAGGTTATCCTCAGGATTACATGAAAAAACGGGTAGTTTCTGATTGTTGGTATTCTGTCAGCGAGCGAACGAAAATTGAAATGTTTCGTGATGTGCCAGTGATAAAAAATTCGCAATATTTGTTCGTTGTTCTGGCAATAGATTGGCGTGGATGCGATAAAATAGATATCAGAAGTATAACAGCTTTGTTGAAGGATCAAACGAAGTTGCAATATCTGGATATAAAATACAGAGTTGACAAACGGATTCAAATTTACATCACTGATTTCTGGTTAAAAAGAAACGAAATTTTTCTTAGAAATCACGAGTTGAAATTCTTCGTCTGTCAAAATGATGTACTCGTGCTTAAGAAGAAAGTGATATCTAATGGGACCATTGATTTATGGCGAAGACTTGGTGTCTCGTTGGACTGGAATCGTGTCATTTCTAGCTATTTCACTATCCAGTGAGGGGTTCCTTATAAATTGGAGACGTTCGAAGATTATTTATTGATACACATCACTAATGCATAAAAACAAAATAATTCGCAAAAAAGTTGATTTATAATTAGTCCTTCCTGACTTAATATTTATTGACTTGTCTGTCACTTGACTGAATGCTCGAGTTTGTTTAACGAAAATATGACTGAAATTGTTTTAGGAAAAATTGTTGTACATAAGTATATTTTAAATATCATATTTGCTATAAATTAGACAACTATTCCCTTTTAATCTACAAGTTTTCCAAATCTATACAAAAGGTATAAATAAGCAATAGTGAGATTGCAATTCAATATGTATTATCCAGACATCTTTTTTAATAGTCAAGAAAATGAATATCAGAGAAATAAAATCCCAGTGTCGGGAATTGAACAGAAAATATGGGTTCTCAGGTTACTCTCAGGGGTTGCAAATCTTGCCTCCAAATTTGAATGCTCAAAGCCTTTTAGTTTCCGAAATATGACGTTTGCTTATGATTTTTTTTAAAATTTACAAAGAAATTAGATATAAAAACTTGGTAAACGTTGAAATTCTTAACCCTGTATTTGGGTGTTGCCACGGTAGTTGCAGGGGTTGCAAAACTTTTCCTTAAATATGACTGCTCAAGTCCGTTTAGTTTCCGAAATATGACGCTTTTTATGATTTTTTCAAAAGTTTTCTCAGAAGAAAGTTGAATTTCTGAACTCTATACTGTGAGATGCTGTCAGGGTACACTCGGGAGCTGCACATCTTGTCTCCAATTATGACTGCTCAACTTTTGTTAAACTTCGAGATAAGACATTTTTTATGATTTTATAAAAAAAATTAGGAAATTTAGATTTAAAAGTTTTCACAAAGTTTGAAATTCTCAACCATGTAGTCAGGTGCTGTCGGGGTACTCTGAGAGGTTGCAAATCTTGTCTCCAAGAGTGACTGCTCAAATGCATTTGGTTTCCGAGATGTGATGTTTTTTCAATATTTTAAAGTTGTTTTTTTTTTAAAATGAATTTAAATAGAACTTTTCAAGTTTTGAAATTCCTTATAGTGGGGTGGTCTCAGGGTGATCTCAGAGGTCGCAGATCTCGTTATCAAGTTTGTTTGCTTAAATCATCTTAGTTTCGAAGATAAGCAGTTTTGTAATTTTTCAAAAGTCAAAAGAACTTTCAGGATCTGGACTTAAAAAATGACTTCTCAATACTTTTTATTTTCTTAGATATGATGTTTTTGTCTATTTTGAAAACTTTCAAAATTATTAAATTTCAAAATAAAAAAAATTCCAAAATTAAATTGTCGACCTTTTGGCGCGGAGATGTAAACTTACTACCAGCGGATGCAAATGTCGTTTTCTACCCTATTTTTTTAACCCGTCCGATAGCAAGGGTATTGCAATGGGGAACTAGACTTTTTTCCCTTTAACAACTTTGTCCACTGATTTCAGCCTGCACGCAGTGCATGACATGCATGCAGTATGTGCGTATTTTTGCGCTAATTGGTCTGTCACTATCACTTTGCATCCTTTCTAGTGTTTTTTCAATAAGTTCGCAGTTCGAATTAAATGATGTTTTGTATTTTTTTAAGTTTTCGACTTCATCGCTTTCGGTTTACTTTTTGTCGGCTTACTTTCCGCTTTAATTTTACCATCCCACTAAATTGCTTGTTTAATTTTTCTTACGTTATACACTCTTTTAGTTTTCTGATTTACCTGTGCTGTTTGTTTTTGATTTTTTTGTATCGTATGGAATTTTTTCTTTCAATTGAAAGCTTTGATCTGCACAAATGATTCCGGCCTATGTTTTATCGATTTACTGACATAATTTCGAACCGTTTCAATGGAAACATTTTTATGCTTACCTCTGGCTTGCTCAAAGGGCTTAACATCTTAATAGAAATATAGTTCAAATGTTTCATGACAATTTTTTATTGCCTTATTCCTTTTTTTTCGGCTTTATAGGTTCTGCCTATATAATATCGATTTATCGGCCTCACATTGCGTCCTTTGACGAGCATAAAAGATTAGCTTGTGCTAGTCTTTGTTTTGAGGGCGAGGGGGGCTTAATAACTCTTATTAGTCTTAATTTTTTCATTTTTTTATTTCCTTTTTTTGGACTGAATAGGTTTCGGGCTTTATTATATCGGCTTAGTTGTCTCATATTATTTCATTTGATGACGAGCAAGTAATTTTTTTTGAATGTTTCGAGGGCAAGGGGGACTTTTCATGAGTCTTAAATCTTGTTGATTTTTTTGGCTCAAACATTTTTTGCCAAAATTTTTTTTACCCTTGGTAAGTTATGTTCCGATGCCAGTTTCACATATATTGTTTTGGCATGTTTTTGTTTCAAAACTAGTTTTATTGATTTTGATAGATCTAGTTTTTTGACTTCTTTTTCAATTTTCTCGTGTTGTATCGCAAGTGGTGCGAAGCTCAGTTTTTCCTGTGTTAACATTTTTTTTGCGTTCTTTTTTCGACTTAATAGGCTTCGGCCTATTTTATATCAGTTTAGTGGCCTAGTCTTGAGTAGTTTTAAGGGAAACATAATTTTAATGCTCACCTCTGGATCGCACAAAATGCTATAAAAAATTTAATAGAAATTATAGTTCAAGTTTTCGTGACAACAATTTTTTTTTCGGCTTGATAAGTTTCGGCCAATTTTATATCGGTTTAATGATGGCGTATTGCACCTTTCATTGGGCGAGAAAAGTTTGTGTGTGCGTGTCTGTGTTTTGAGGTGGAGGGGCGACTTAATAATTTCTTATTACTCTTTAAAAATATTCAAAATTTTTTCGTGTTATCTTTTTTTCGCCTTATATTGCGTCGTTTTACGGGCTGCGTATGTGTTTTGAGGGTGAAGGGGGACTAATTAACTTTTTATTAGTCTTAATTTTTTCGGCTTTAGTTTTATCCTTTTTGTTTGGCTGAATAGGTTTCGGCCAATATTATATCGGCATAGTGGCCGCATTTTGTTTCTCTTGACGCGTGAATAAAGTTTGTGTGTGTGTGTGTGCGTGTGTGTGTGTTTGTTTGAGGGTGTGGGGGGTTTTGCTAATTCAAAAAAAAATGGCCTAAAGGGTTTCTGTTAAGGTATTTCCGGCTTTATTACCGCTTCATAATTTTTCTTTCGATGCTAGTTTCACATTATATTGTCTTGGCTGTTTCAAAACTAGCCTTATTGATAGATCTTGTTTTTTCGAAATTTTCGATTCTTTTCGACTTACCGGCTGTCTTGTTTTGTATCGCAAGTGGTGCAAAGCTCAGCTTCGCCTCTGTGTAAATTTTCCAATTGGGTTATTGTATGATGTTTCAAAATGTTTTCCGTAAATTTAAAATTAAATTATAGTCTGATATTTGATTTTTTGAAAAAATTTATTACGCTGGATTATCAATCCCATATATTTCTTTGATGATTTTGTAAATGAAATTGTTTCATTTTTTTATGCTAACGAGCTTGCGAAGCGTTCTGTTAAAATACGCATCTACTTTTTGTTAACCTAACTCTCAAATAAAAGTGTTCACTCATTGGTGGCACTTTTGCTATTATCACGATCTGTAGCATTGGAAAGTCATAGCATCTGTTCTCTGTTTTATTTTTGGCTAGTGATTCATTGAGCATCCGTGGCTGAGTGGTTAGTGTGGATAGACTCATAATCTCCTGGTCGCAGATCGAGTCCGAGTCGTAGACGAATTTTTTCTAATTCGAGGCTTATTTATACTTTTTCTTATTGCACTTTATAGAGCTGCTTTTTCTCGTGTTCTCGCTAGTGCTCGCGAAGCGAAGCTTTGCCCCTGTATCAAGTATAGAATATGCAGTCGAATGCTCTCGGCCATTAGGGTTTCATCGTTTATGAGTAAAAACTACGAAGATCTGAAATCCAGTAGCTTTGGAAGTTATTGGACCATATTAGTTTAAAAAACCTTCAAGTTGAAATTATTTTTATTGTTCAAATTTTGAAATCACGAGTGTTGTTGGACTCCCCTGACTATTGTTGTGGTTGCATTCATTTGGCTTTTTTGAGACTATTTTCTATAAGCTTCTTTCACGTTCAGTAATCTGTTTGAAGCACCGGAGGTACGTTAAACGCTTGTTTGCATATTATATGCTGAAATGGTTCTGGGACTTGCTAAGTCTAATTTTTTTTGCAGATAATTACACCTACAAAGCAAAGCTGCTGCTTATAAAGTCGCAAAGACCAATTATGGGGTGTTTTTTTGCGATTACCGGAGTTGATTTGACCAACTTGTGCTACCAGCTGCTGTTCTCGGGCACTTTGAAGCACATCCTTTACTTCAAAGAAAAAACAAACAGAGAGATCGTGTTGATTTCTTTCAAGAATGTTCCGTGTAGATTTTTGAACTGGATGCGCATAGAATGGAAAGAAGCCGGAATCCATAATGGACTATCGAGTAATTAGAAAGAAAATTCGAAGAAGAGATCAATTCTTCAATTTTAAGCAGACAAAGATTGTCATGAAAGACGCTCAAAACCAATCGTTTCTGTTTCACCAGAATTAAATGGATTGTAGTGCCTCGATGATCGATTTCCTTTTGCAGAAAACTCTTATATAATCTGTAGATAATCTATTATAATTCTTCTTGAGCTATGATTAGCTTAAAATTCTTTTCGAGAACATGAATAAAAAATTGAGTTATAGTTGAGCTAAAAAGTTGACATTTGAGCCAAATTTACGTTGAAACATTATGAATTTGGTCAATTTGAATCGTATTTTTTGAGGACAAATATAAACAAAATAACCATTAAAAATTCTCAAGGTAAATCACATGTGTGATCAAAATTATGTTACAAGACTAGAAAGTTGGTCAAAATGAATCACATTTTGAACCAGGGGCGGATCTAGGATTTTAGGATTTTCTCGAGGGGGCGGATTTTTTCGAAAATTTTGACGACCTTTTTTTATGTCGACCAAATTGATTTTCCGAGCCCTCCTAAAGCACTAAAAAGACGACGCTGTTTTGGGCAAATTTTCTGTGCCGCAGGCAATTTTTTGAAAAAACAGGTTAAAAAAGCCGTTTTTGGGCACTTTTTGGAAAATTTTGACAAAAAAATTGCGTTTTTTTTTGGCGCGCGCTCCCCCTCAAAGTTAGTATATATTGGCGCCTGAGGCGCCTTTAGAAAAAATTTAGGTTCTGTCGGCCAAAAATGTATTTCTTAAAAAGTACCAAAGGGAGGACCCTTTGGATCGGCAGGGGGTCGAATCCCTGAAGGGGGGGGCGTCCGTCCCACCCGAAATCCGCCCCTGTTTTGAACACTAAAATATACAGAAAATCAATTAA